ATGTGAGAGGCAATTGACTTCACCCCAAGATTAGTTTCTGTTGTGGTAAGCTCTCTTTTCTATGGCTATGAACTAGGGACACTCGATAGCAGGCACTTGAAGCAACTAGTCTTTTCACATGTGATATCTGCATCTCATCTGTAACATCAAGTGGTCAGACAGGATACCAAACATCAAAGTCCTGGACCGGTGCTGTAGGACGAGTATTGAATCCTTCATCATAGAGGTGCAACTTCACTGGACTGGTCACCTCATATATATAGATGATATGTGACTCTCCACAGCCATATTTTATGGACAGTTGAAAATGGGAGCACGCATGCTGGGAGGCCAATGAAAATGATATATGGACACTCTCAAAGCTGTAGACTAAATAAAGTTCCCATGAGACTGGATGGGGTTATCAGCAGGAGCTGTGGGGAAGGGAAGGGGGAGAATAGGGGTGCAGTACTCCATGCCCTTGTTCCTGCATTGACTGGGGGAGGTCCAGGCACACATAGTGTGCGGGGCAGGATGTGCAGTATCCAGATCACCATGAAGCAGAGTCCTGAAATAGGCAGGAATTCTGCTTGAGATTAACAAGAACGGCTGGGTCCTCATATGGTCCTCATCACTCTTGGTCCCCATCTGGGCACCTTACAGTTAAAGATTTTTTATCCTCGCAACCCCATGAGAAAGGGAAGTGGTGTCCCTATTTTACGGAGGGGAACCTGAGGTCACACAGGACGTCTGCGGCTCAGTGAGGAATTTAACGCATCTCCTGAGTTCCAGCCCACAGTATGATCCACTAGACCATAGCGAGAGCTTGTCAAAGGCACAAAGGCAGTAGGCAACAGAGTCCCACTGAATGCAGATGCACACTGGACACCTAACTCACATCTGTGCCTCTGAACATCTCCCTCCACCCTCCCTATGCAAATTATAGCTGGTGCAGTTACTCTAGCAGTCCACAGGTTTCAGGGCACTGATGGGGCTCAGGAAACTGCTCCTGCCCATGGCACGATACTGCACTATGGCAGGTTTATGACTAAGCAGGGGCAATCTGTGCTGCCCTCGGTCAGAGAGAGGCTATCAGATGGGAGGGGCTATTACTCTGTGTTTGAAACAAGGATGTGCGAGAGCCTTTCCCTTGCATGTAGCTTTATCAGGGATTCAGCGCAGGGCTCGTCAGTTGGGAGCGGAAGAGAAGATACTCAGAATCTGTGTCTTTGGGCAACAGCATCTATTGAAATGCTGATAGATAAATGAGTACGTCTAAACTTTGGCTCTTCTTTTTCGCTCTGGTGTTTCAGTAATGCCGGACCACTCTATCAAGTTTGCAAGACTCAGTTTGCCCTCACAATCTGGCCCTCTGTTACCGGTGAATCATTTCTTCACTCCCGGGGGAGTCTCTCATGCACTGCTCATTGAGCCGAGCAAATTGTCTGGGACTCCCGGCCAACCTGAGAGTCCGCAGGGACTGTACAGGGGAATCATAAAGGTCGCTCTCCGGCACAGCGAGTGTCAGACATCTGAGATTCATACGCTTCCTGTCGCAGTAAGGAGATTTCCTCTCTCTGCTGAGTGGGAGTTCGGTGAGTTGCCTCTTTCTGCATTAAAGTTAGTGCTAAGGACTCAGGAAGGGCTCCAGGGTTTAAGTCAAGAACCATCTGGGCAGGAATTCACTGGGACAGCAACTTGAACAGTTTAGTATTGTCAGAAACACCAACGCATTCACCTGGTAAAATTGGAACTACAAATGTATTGCAAAGAGTTTAGACAAATATTTGTTTTTAAGATCAGTTCCTTGTCTCTTATTGTGTCCTTCTATCTGTCTCAGTAGCTTCCCTTTTTGCGTGGTGTGGTTTTTTCTCTGGTTCGCTCAAGTGTTCCAATTCAACAAGTTCAATGCCCTGTTAAGAAGTGCAGCCAAAGCCTCTGCAGTGTGTATCTGTCTTACCAGAGGGTTCACATCAAGAAAGGGTCACACACTGGCCAGATTCTGCTCCCACATTCTGCCTTCACTGGGTCACTCCATTTTGACACTGGCCACCCTGAGAGCAAAATGAAGGTCCACATGTTTTGGAATCCCCATCTTTAATGCCTGGTCTCAGAGTGCCACATAAACTTCAGACTCTTTCAGCACCCTAACAGAATAGCACTTTCTGTAGCAGGACCTGAACTCATGTTTTTCACAGCTGGGAGCCGAAAGTTAAACACTAAGGGTGAAATCTTGGTCCTACTGAAATCAATGGCAAAACTCTGAACACAGCCAGGAATTCACCCTAAATCCACATGTAGGGATTTAGATAAATGGCCTGATTTACAAGGGCCACGAGCCTCCAGTGACTTCAATTGGACTAGTCCTGGGGCGTCTAAGGACGGGTGAGCTCGTTTGAACCAAAGAAGAACTGACAGGAGAGTTGTTGAAATCTCAAACTCACAGGCTTTGAGGTTCAGAACAATTAGGATACCAATTTTTTGTGGGTGGAGGGGAGACACGTCTGCTCTTTCTGAGCCCCTGCATCTCTGGTTCTGAAGAGCACAAGAAGCCTCAAAAGGCACTAAAGAGAGAAGCATGTTTCTGTCTTAGAGGAAACCAGGTGGTGTTGCAGATCTCACTGGGGGAGGTTCAGGAACACACAGTGTGTGTGTGTGTTGGGGGGAGGAACATGCAGTATCCAGATTACAGTGGCACGGAGTCCTGAAACCGGGTGAAATAGGGATGGACATCCTGCCTAATGCACAGACCAAAGAGGCGTAATGAGGACTCCTGGGGTAGAGGGTGTCTCAGACTGTAACGGAATGTGGATCGTAATGTAGCAAATTGTCTCTGACAACATCCCCCATCCGGACCATCCCTCTTCCTGTGCGCAACCCTACTACAGCCTCGTGGCAACATCAGCAATTGCCAACATGGAAAAGCAGCCCAGGAAGGGGTGTCTTGGTTTCTAGTGGGCTGCAATATGTTAAAGCTTTGTGTCATTGTAAGGAAGTGTTACTCACACTGGCTCCTTTTAGTCTTCATGTCCTCGCTCCCTCCCACCGGGTCTGTCCCTCTCTCCTTCCCTGCACAGGCAGAGCTGCTGCTGGGGTTCCCTTTGGCCCTGGAGAGGCAGTTCAGACTGATCCTCCCCCTTTTCCCCAGTGCAGGCAGACACTGAGTTTAACCTCGCCTGAGGAGGTGTTTCTGTGAGCTGTTGCTGTGGTATCTGGCACCTGGGTGAGGGGTATCGCTGTGTGGCAGGGCTGGAAGTTCTTTGGATGGGCCTATGTGGACAAAGAGCCAGTACTGGGGGTTATGGAGGCAGGAAGTGGGGAGTACATGGACAGGTGGGCAGCACTGGGGGTTGTGGAGCAGGCAGGCGGTGTACACCAATAAGTAGGCAGTGCTGGGGCTTCTGGGGGCAGGCATGGGGTGTACATGGACTGGTGGATAAATGCTGGGGGTTTTGGGGGCAGGGAGCAGCATGTACACAGACAGGAAATCAGCGCTGGGGGTTGTGGTGCAGGCAGGGAGGTGTACACAGAGAAGCAGGCAGTGCTGGAGGTTGTAGGGATAGGGAGGGATGTGTACACAGAGAAGCAGGCAGAATTGAGGGTTGTGAGGATAGACAAGGGGTCTACAGGGTCTGGTAATCAGCGCTGCGGATTGTGGGGCAGGCAGGAGGGCATACATGGACAGGTTGGAAGCGCTGCTGAAATTAATTTTTTTTTAGCGATTGCTGATCCAAGACTCCGTGTCCGTTTGGATGGGTCTCAGGGTCATTTTCCCCTGGCAAACTACAGAAATGCAGCCTGGTTGTCACAACCTTTACTCCGTTTTGTTTCCAATTGTTGTTGTTGAATGTTAATTACGTAACTTCAATGCTTCTTTCCGCTAGTAAAAAGCCTGATCTTTGCTATTCAGTTGGTTCAGTTTCTCCTCATACTCTGACCCCCTGTCTGTACTCTCGTTCCCCATCCCAGGCTGCCCCCATTCTAATAGCACACTGGTCACCAGTGACATCTCCATGCTCCCCAGTGATCCCTGACTCCCACAACCTCCAAGCTCCTTACACTCCCCACATGTCTTCCTCTGCAAGGGGTGAGCTGCCTCCCATCACACCTGATGCCTTGGCTGGGGGCAGATCAGTGACTGTGTCTCACCGGTGAGAAATCTCACACACAGAGTGGCAAATGCAAGTGCACCTGTGCTACTGCTCTTGGAGCACCCATACACTTCATGCAGCTTTGAGGACTGCTACACAGGAACAACTCACAAGCTGAGAAGTTTGCACATTATATAATGAGAGCTGGAAACTCTGGGACATGTGAGGGTCTAGATTAATACACCTGCCAGGTGCAAAAGCTACTGGCAACTGCCTGAAACAATGGACACTGCAACACAGACATTAAACACAGGCTGCTCAGGGACCATTTGTTAGTCAACACTATTAAGCATTAATGGCAAGGGTTGTATGAGATTTTATGGGGTCACGTCATTATTTTTCTTACCTAAAACATTCATCCATGCAATGCCTCACGGGATCCCTCAGCCTTGTGAAATACACACCTAGTCACATGACACCACAGTCACATGAGAATGTCTGCCCATGAGGCTAAATTCACCACTGTCATGAATAGAAAAAATGCCTTCAGTAAGCTCCTGCACGAGCGTGCAGGCAAATGCCTCCAGCTGACTCCTGGAGACATGTTCATAGATTCCAAGGTTTCCCCGCCAATGGACATACACGTTGCTGTTACTGACATCAAAGTTCATCTGCCATCATGCTGCCCATTCACCTGACTTGGTTAGCTCCCTCTGAGGACTTCTCTGGACTTGATGATCACCTAAATGGTCTGGTGCCATCTGCAAATGTTGCCACCTCACTGCTCACCCCAATTTCTATATTGTTAATAACTGTAAAATATTTACTGTACTATTTGTTATAAAGTCTGTAACCCACCTCGCAGTGCTTCTCTCCATTCACAGACACCCTGTGAGCATCCCTGAGCCTGATCGACGCATCGACCACCTCATGGCAGCATTCAACCTCACCCCCTTTGACCCTTCAACGTTCATCCTAACAGGCATCCCTGGCCTGGAAGCTGCTCATGTCTGGATTTCCATCCCTTTCTCTACGTTCTACATTATCAGTCTGTTGGGAAATTTCACGGTTCTGTTTGTTGTAGGGAAAGAGCAGACCCTGCACAAGCCGATGTACCTGCTGCTCTGCATGCTGGCACTCACAGACATCAGCACATCTACCTCCGTCGTGCCAAAGGCACTGTGTATATTTTGGTTCAATTTGAGGGGCATTATTGTGGGTGGCTGCTTCACCCAGATGTTCTTCCTTCACACGTTTTCTGCTATGCATTCAGCCGTGCTCGTGACAATGGCCTTTGATCGCTACATTGCCATATGTAGCCCTCTGAGATATGCCACCATCCTCACCAATTCACGAATAGCTAAGCTAGGGCTCGTGGGTTTGATGAGAGCAGTTCTCTGCACTCTGCCTCTGCCCCTGCTCCTGAGCAGGCTACCATTCTGTTCCAACCACATTATCCCCCACACATACTGCGACCACATGGCTGTGGCAAAGGTATCATGTGGGGACATCACAGACAACAGGATGTATGGCTTGGTAATAGCACTTGTAGTCATCGGGTCAGACCTGACGCTCATTGCCCTGTCATATACTCTGATCATCAGGGCTGTCCTCAGAATCTCCTCTAAGAAAGCCCATCAGAAAGCCCTCAACACCTGCACAGCCCACATCTGTGTGATGCTGACGTCTTACACTCCTTTCGTCTTCTCCAGCCTGACACACCGGTTTGGTCAGGGCATTGCTCCCCATGTTCAGATCATCATGGCCAACCTCTATTTCCTCATCCCCCCCATGCTCAACCCTATCATTTACGGCGTCAAAACCAAAGAGCTTCGTGACAAAGTGGGCAAATACACCTGCAGAATGTGATTGCCAGGGGCCACTGACTTTAAACCTGTGTGACAAGAGGAGGAAAATATATCTCCTCCTTAATGAAGGGTGCTCTGTCCCAGTTTGGCTGAGCTCGGCATTGTGGGAGTCCACAGTCTGAGAAGTTCCTCACACCTAATGTCTTATCTCTCCATAACCGAGTACAACTCTCTATGTTTCTGTGTTCCCTCTCTCTGTCTGTCACCTTCTCTTTCAGTGTCACCCATCAACCCCTACCCCACACACCTTGTCACTTGACCTTTCCATAATTTCCAGACCACCAGAACATACTTCAGTTTTCTGACACAAGGTGGGCTTCCATTAGTTTCTGTGTGAACAGGATTCTTGATTAGTTCAACAAACTGAAGCTACACTTTCAGATAGCCAAAGACAAAGAAATAAACTACAATTCCAAACTTCTTAAGTCTGAAATGCATGCAATATGATGTTTATTGGGGTTAGATTGAAGCAAGCATCTCCATAGCTCTACACGCCAGCAGAGTCTGTTACCCAGTTTTCCCAGCTCTGATGCTGCGGAGTGTTTACCTCCATTTCCCCCTTCCCAGTTCTGACACTACAGAATCTTGCCTGTGTCCCCCTTCCCCTTTATGTATGCTCTATTCCCACCTTCCCCTTCTTAACAGGCCAAAATATACCTTCAATGCATGCCCACAGTCCCACCCCTTTTGTACCCCATGGGAGGGATAAGGAGTGAGGTTGTGCTACGGTCAGGGACAGGCATTTCTTTAATCATTTAGTGTTTTATACTTCCTCCCAATCCCCATTTGTCCCTCCCAACTGGTTTTTTGACCTTGCCTTGCGATAGGGGTTGAGGCAATCTTAAAGTATGCATTCCAGTAACATTTTAACTGCTCTTATCTGTTCCCATTGTACTAACAAACCTCACTGGATAAACATACACAATGTCTTTGTCCTTTGTTTACACATGTTAGTAAGAATGCATGTGTATCAAAACATCAAACAGGCAAGCATAACCCAAAAATACTATCTCAGGTGGAAATACAAGCCTGGGTCCTAAATTGGCACTAGCGCTCCTAAGAATCATATGTACGGTGATCTGGTGAACAAAAGTAGACTGATTTTCTTCCAGTTTTTCAGAAAGTCTGGAGGATAAACCAAATATTTTAGTTGAAAAGTGATAATACAGGAAAGCTGCTGCAGGAATTTAAGCCATTTTACTTGAGCTTGTGTTTTTGAGAATGGGACTGCTCTGTTAAACTACGCTATCACTTTTGAGTCAAATTACTTGTCACTTTGTGCAGTCAATTTTCAGCTGGAACCCTCAAAATACACACTAGCAGGTCAAATTGTCGAAGACGTCAAAAGTAGGTGTCAAGATTTCATGTTGGAGTTTGTGAAACACATGAAACAGAGATTGCCAGGTGATTGAATGACTTTCAGTACTAAGTCCTTCTACTACACTCAGCCCTGCACGACCTAGATTTGCTGATATCCCATTTTTACCATTATTTTGTGGAGACCTTGGACTGTTGGAGGAGCAGGGAAGAGTTTTGCTCATGATTCACTGGCCTCATACTCAGGACGACGAAGTTGAGCAGTCTTGGGTTGAAGTTCTCAAACACACAGATGCCGCTGAGGACAAAGCCCTGGTCTACACTACAGGGTTAGGTCGATTTTATAATAAATGCGTCTAAACAAGCAACCCCATTCTGTTGACCTACAGGTACTCTGAAAGCCTTTACAGAAGGTTTCTGGGGAGGGCTGCCTTATTTTGTCCTCCACGGTAAGACACTTTGCCACGCCAAGCCAGTAGCAAGTAGTCTGCAATCATTGCAGCACAAAGCATGGCAGCGAATGGTCCTGGGGTTTGGTCACATTCAAGCAACATTCGGTCTATATCTTTCTGTGTTAGCCTCAGGAGAGTGATATCATTCATGGTCACCTGGTTGAAATAGGGGAATTTTTGTCAGGGAATGGTAAAAGGACCCCGTTCATGCTGGGCTGTTTGCGCTTGGCTAAAAGGGTTCATCCCTGAGAATAGCCATGCAGCGGGGGGAGGGGTGATGGGATCATCCCAAATAGCCACGCAGAGGGGTGGGGGTAGGGGTGTGCTGCACATCCACCCAAAAACCGCAGCCCCTCCTTTTAAATGGCAAACCCAACCGGCATTGCTTGTTATGGGAAAGGAGGGCGCTGCCGTTTGAAACCATTCCCACATGTTATCAAGGCGTTAGAAGCCAAACTCGCGTACCCTTTGGCTTACCGTGGCTGCCTGGAAACTGAATTCTGTTACCCAGCTGTGTGTGATGTGTCACCGGCAGGCACTCAATATAAAAGGCAAAATGCGGTCTTGTACCTAAAGCACATGTGCTGTCTGCTTTTTCTTTGTGTTTTTTTGGTATTTCAGGAAACTTGGAAGGAAACAAAATATCACCTGGACCTAAAAAGAAGGTGTCAGGTGCGCAGAACAGGAAACAAAAAGCCGAGTTAATGACTGGAATGAAGAAAGGTGCGGAAACAATTAAAAAAATACTTGAAATCTGTTAACGGCAACCCTTGCAGCAGTAGTGAGACGGTCACCGCAAAGCCATCAGAGGAGAAATGCATAGATGATCCACACTTCAACATTCAAGAAGGGGACAGCCAGAGCACCAGCCACCACATGGTGACAGTAGGAGCCTCGGCTGACAGTGGAAGACGCAGCTGCAAGAGGCCCGTGCAGGGCTCTCTTAGCAACTGTGACATGTCAGACATCTGTTGAGTGGTTCCCCCCAAGTACTTACTAACAAACTTCAACCCATTATCAGCAGCGCTTACAGTGAGAAACAGCTTACCTGAGAAATGGATCGTTTTTTGTAACAAAGGGAGAAAAGCACACAACACAAACTGAAGTGAGGGCAGCAGTGGAGGTTCCGGCAAAACACAGTAGCTGAAAATATGACAAAGTGTCTTTCAAACTGGGCTTTACGTGGAGCAGGTCCAGCGATGCACTGAGGCCTCCATTTGTTGTATGCAACGTAATACTGGCAAACGACAGATTGAGGCTCTGCAAGTTACACTTTTATCTCGGAACAGGACACCCTACATTAGTATCTAAACACATTGAGGTTTTTCACAGGAAGCTCAATGAATTAACAGGACAAAAAAAGGTTGTTGAAGTGTACAGCACTGTTAACATGAAGGCTACTGAGGATTCTTACTGTGTGGCTTTGCGCACTGCCAAAGCTGGTAAGCCACACAACATAGGTGAGAAACTACTACTTCCAGCTGCAAAGGATACGTGTGCTGGTCATGATAGGAGAGAAAGCAGCATCACAGCTAGATGTGATCCCCGTTTCTAACAACACTTCCTAACAACAGTTCCTACAAAGTGCTCGACAGAGCCCATATTATTCAATTCAGATAGACAACTCTACTGAGACAGTAGAACCTCAGAATTTTGACCATCAGAGTACAGGAGTACTTGTGGCACCTTAGAGACTAGTTAGTCTCTAAGGTGCCACAAGTACTCCTGTTCTTTTTGCGGATACAGACTAACACAGCTGCTACTCTGAACTGGAAGTAGGCAATCAGGCAGCAGCAGAGACAAAAAAAACCCCAAACAACCGAAATACAGTGCGGTCTTGTGTTAAACATAAACAACTAACAAATAAAGGGATATCAACATTTTTCTTCTGTATAATAAAGTTTCAAAGCTGTATTAAGTCAATGTTCAGTTGTAAACTTTAGAAAGAACAACCCTAAAGTTTTGTTCAGAGTTATGAATATTTCAGAGTTACAAACAACCTCCATTCCCAAGGTTTTCGTAACTCTGATGTTCTACTGTACATCAAATGTTGCACAGCTGCTGCTGTATATTCATTTTGCTGCAGCAATAGAATTAAAAGAGGAATTTCTGTTTTGCCATCCACTAGCAACATGAAAAACTGGTGAAGAGCCTTTTAAACCTATTAAAAATTTTTTCCAAGACACAGGCCTGGATTGGGGGCATTGTTTTGGAATTTGTAGCAATGGAGCAGTCTACGATAGGACGGCATAGCAGGCTTGTGACAAGGGTACAAGAAGTGGCTCCCTCGGCAACATGGAATCATTGTGTGATCCACAGACAGGCATTGGCTGCTAAGAAGATGGTAGTGGAGCACAGCAATATTAATTCGGGTGCAGTAAATATAAGCTTTATAAGGCTATTGCGGAGAAACTAAATGAATTCTTTGCATTCGTCTTCACTGCAGAGGATGTGAGGGAGATTCCCAAACCTGAGCCATTCTTTTAGGTGACAAATCTGAAGAATTGTCCAATACTGAGGTGTCTTTAGAAGAGGTTTTTGAACCAATGGATAAATTAAACAGTGATAAGTCACCAGGACCAAATGGTATACTGGGACCACTACTGCTCAACATATTCCTAAATGGTCTGGAGAAAGGGATAAACAGTGAGCTGGCAAAGTTTTCCCATGATACAAAACTACTCAAGATAGTTAAGTCCAAAGCAGACTGCAAAGAGTTACAAAGGGATCCCAAAAAACTGGGTAACTGGGCAGCAAAATGGCAGATGAAATAAAATGTTGAGAAATGCAACATAACGTACATTGGAAAACATAATCTCAAGCATACGTATAAAAGAGAGATGGACAGCAGGAATGCTGTGTAAAGTTTGAACCAGATATGAAAACCACCAGAACATACCTAGAACTACTTTTAACAACCGGAATATATAAGTAAATTAGGAATGTTTAGGAAGACACGATTAGGTTTATTTATGTTTATTTTTTTAAGGCTTGTGGACTCTTCTGTGCTAACTCGAGATGCTTTTGTTTGCTTGGGTGCTTAATTTTTGGAATTGCTCTTTTAAAATCTAGCAAAAGCCTAAGTTCCAGATGTAATTTCTTCCTTTTTGTTTTTAATAAAATTTACCTTTTTTAAGAACAGGATTGGATTTGTTGTGTCCTGAGAGGTTTCTGCATGTTGTTTGATTAGCTGGTAGCAACAGCTAATTTCCTTTGTTTTCTTTCTCAGCTC